CTCAGAAACCCAAGGAGGGGTTGCTATGAGTCGGGTCCGACTCGGCGGCACATAGAAACAACACCACCAACAATGTGAGTAGGGAGTCCTTGGATGGTGCAAGTGGTTAACATACTTGGCTACTAACCAAAGGAATGGAGGTTTGAGTCCACTCAGAGATGCCTCAGAAGAAAGGCCTGGTGATCTGTTTCTGAAAAATCAGCATTGAAAACCCTATAAAGCACTGTTCTACTCTGACATACATGGGTCGGCATGAGTTAGACTTGTCTTATGGCAACTTGTTTGATGTGACCTGACGGAGCTCACACAGTAAAATCATAGGCTTGTCACCAAGGGATGTGGGTTGGGGCCCTGGCCACCTTTTTCTCTACTTCAGGGGCTGATGCTAGCCTGGGAAGCATGGGAAGCAAAGCAGCTGATGGGAGTGGGGGCGGGTAGCAGCAACAGAAAGGAGGTCACATCTGGGGAGCGTCAGTGAGGAAGGCAGCCGGGAGCTCTGCCCCTTGTAATGAGGGCTTGAACGAGGCCCGAGGTCTAAATAAAACCTGATGACAGGACTGAAAATTACATTTTTCCCTTTTAGAAACATTTCTCCCCTGCTTCCCAAACAGAGGCCTAGCGAGAGAGTATAGGGGGGCACTTGCCCCCTGGTGCAAGTCAAAGGGGGTGCCAGTTGAGGTGTGGAATGACATTCCAAGGTGCCACAAATATGAAAGGCGCCTTACTGAGGCAGCTGGACAAGAGGAGGAAAGGCGTTTTTGCTGACACATCGCTGCTATCAAAGTCTATTCATCGTGAAATTGGGAGTGGGGGTGGTCGGCAGCCACAGTGGTGACACAGCCTAGAGATGGGCCCTGAGAGCTTGTTACCCTTAGTACGCCTCTGTTCCCAAAGTGGTTTCCAGTCTAACATGAGCTGGCTACATTTAACTGACTGGGACCATAGAAGAAACCCAGGATATGGAATCAAAAGGCCTAGGTCCCAGCTTGGCCCTGCTGCTTACTGGCCTAGGTCATTCCAGGTGATACATGGCTTCTGTCTGGGTTTCCTATTAAATGGGATAATAATCAGTACAGGGGTTTTAGTTAGTTCATTTGTCCTTTTATCTGTCATCTCTTTGTCTACCCATCAATCCTTTATTGAGTTCCTGCTTTATGCACAGCACTATGTTGGGTGCCAGAGAAAGGCAGGGAGCCTGATGGTGGGGGGGGGGGCGGTCACCACACTTGGTGTGATTAGGCTGGGGTGGAGGGAAGTGGAGCATGCTGGGAATCTGGAGGAGAAGCCTAACCAAACCTGGGGTGGGCGGTGTCAAGTAAGCCTTCTTGGAGAGTTGTGTCTGGTTCTACCGACTACTGCACACACTAATGTCAGCTGTACCCCCTCTTCTTCCTCTTTCCTTTTCAGGTAGACAAGGAAATCTTGTGCCAGGGCCTTGGCCTCCTCCAGGTCCCCTCAATGCTCCCACTTGATGTTGAGTCCCTCAATCTGTCTGGAAACCAGCTGAAGAAAATCCTGGTCTCACCCCTAGGCTTCTACACAGCACTTCGTCACCTGGACCTGAGCACCAATGAGATCAACTTCCTGCAGCCAGGTGTCTTCCAGGCCCTGCCCCACCTGGAGTACCTCAACCTGGCCCACAACCACCTTGCAGTGGGCAATGGCCTGGGCCCCCTGCCTCAGGTGACCTCCTTAGACCTGTCTGGAAACAGCCTGTACAGTGGCCTGGTGGAACAGCTGCTGGGGGAGGCGCCCGCCCTGCGTACCCTCTCGCTGGCAGAGAACAGCCTGACGCGCCTTGCCCGCCATACTTTCTGGGGCATGCCTGCACTCGAGCGCCTGGACCTACATAGCAACGTACTGATGGATATTGAGGAGGGTGCATTTGAGGCCTTGCCCCACCTGGTCCACCTCAATCTCTCCAGGAATTCCCTCACCTGTATCTCTGACTTCAGCCTCCAGCAGCTGCTGGTGCTTGACCTAAGCTGCAACAGCATCGAGGCCTTCCAGGCGGCCCCAGAACCGCAGGCTGAGTATCAGCTCACCTGGCTTGACCTGCGGGAGAACAAACTGCTCCATTTCCCGGACCTGGCTGCACTCCCTAGACTCACCTACCTGAATGTATCCAACAACCTTATCCGGCTCCCCGTGAAACGGTCCCAGGGCAGCGAGGGTGTGCGTGCACCTTCCGAGGGTTGGTCAGCTCTGCCCGTCTCAAACCCCAGTTGGAACACCAGCACCCACCCCCTTTCCCAACTTTTGAACCTAGATTTGAGCTACAATGAGATTGAGCTTGTCCCTGAGGGCTTTTTTGAGCCCCTGACCTCCTTGCGCTTCCTGAACCTCAGTCGAAATTGCTTGCAGGCCTTTGAGGCCCGGCTTGCGGGCTCCCTCCCCTGCCTGGTGTTCTTGGACCTAAGCCACAATGCACTGGAGGCACTGGAGCTGAGTGCCAGAACCCTGGGGGCCCTGCGGACGCTGCTCCTGCAGGCCAATGCCCTGCAGGACCTGGCCCCGTCCACCTTTGCCAGCCTGGCCAACCTGCAGAGACTCAACCTGCAGGGGAACCGGGTCAGCCCCTGTGGGGGGCCAGGGGAGCCTGCACCCTCGGGCTGTGTAGCCTTCTCTGGCATCTCCTCCCTCCGCATCCTGAATCTGGTGGACAATGAGATAGAGAAGCTCTGGGCAGGTGCCTTCCTCCACACACCACTTACCGAGCTGGCCCTCTCTGCGAATCCTGGGCTGGATGTGGCTGTGGGGGCATTGGCAGGCCTGGAGGCCTCCTTGGAGGTCCTGGAGCTGCAGGGCAATGGGTTGGCCATCCTGCAGGTGGACCTGCCCTGCTTCAGCTGCCTCAAGCAGCTCAATCTTGCTGAGAACCGCCTCAGCCACCTGCCTGCCTGGACCCAGGCTGTGTCACTGGAGGTGCTGGACCTGAGAAACAACAGCTTCAGCCTCCTACCGGGCAGTGCCATGGGCGGTCTGGAGACCAGCCTCCGGCGCCTCTACCTGCAGGGGAATCCACTTAGCTGCTGCGGCAATGGCTGGCTGGCGGCCCAGTTGCACCAGGGTCGTGTGGACGTGGATGCCACCCAGGGCCTGATCTGCCGCTTTGGCTCCCAAGAGGAGGTTTTCCTGAGCCATGTACGTCCCGAGGACTGTGAGAAAGGGGAGCTCAAGAACATCAACCTCATCATCATCCTCACCTCCGCACTGGTCTCTGCCATCCTCCTCACCACACTGGCCACCTGTTGTTGCTTCCGCCGGCAGAAGTTTAACCAACAGTACAAAGCCTAGAGAAGCCAGGGGACTGTAGAACAGCCCCACTGGGAGGTCTTTCTAGGTAAGTGGGTGAGCAGCCAGAGGCACAGAGAAGGATAGGGACTGACCTGAGGTCACACAGCAAGCAAGGGACAAGAACTCTGGTCTCCAAATCCCAGCTCAAGCCTCCTTTCTCTGCATCCTGCTGCGTCAGGAGATGACCTACTTCCCAGTTCACAAATGTGGTCCAGCTGTGGAAGGCAGAAGTTGGGCCGTCTTGGAGGTAGCAGAGAACAGGTGAAGGACTCACGGTTCCTGCCCCCAAGCATCTCCCAATCCAGTGGGGGAGGGTGTCACAGATCCAGGCAATGACCTCGAAGTGTGATGAGAGCTATGAAGTGTGGAAGCCCAGGACTGTGGGGCCCCCAGGGAGAAGCGGCTCCAGCTAGAGAGCCCTGCCCTGGCTGTGCCAGGACCAGGGAGGGGCAGGACCAAGAGGATTTGTCTGAGACATTTCCATGCAGACTGTTTGTCGCATCTTCTGATGATGACTTTCATCCTCACTGGAAAATGAAGAGCTTGTGGCCGGAAGAGAGAACTGGAGTCACATGAGTAACAGCTTGGATCTGGTGCCATTTGACGGCTGTGGCAGCTCCATCAGGGTCTGGTTAAGAGCCTGTCACCCTGGGCTCCAGCCCAGTGCTGGACCATCCTGTTTCTCCTTCTGGAAAAGCTCGCTCTTTGTCTGGCACTCTCATATTGCACACACTGACCCCCCCATCCCCTGGCCGGGCCCCTTCCTGCATCACCCCCACCCTGGCTGGTGAGCCAGGGGTTAGAGCCTGAGCCACTGGCTCCGTTTACACTAGACTGGGGAGCTGTAGATGCAAACCCAAGCCTTTCTGTGTCTGCTTCTGCAGGGCAGCCCTCTTTGGTTGGTATTTTATCCCATGTAAGAGAGAGAAGCAAGGCTCCAGGATTCCATACCCAAGAAATGGCCTAGCTGATACTCAAACCACATCCTTCTGACTCCAGAGCCTGCTCTTCCCCACTGCACACACACGGCAGGCTGTGGGGTGGACAGGAAGTGGGCCCCACATTGCCTGAGGAGGGCCTGGGAGCAGCCTGAACTGCTCATACTTACCACCTGCTCTCCTTCTCTCCCAGGCAGTCAGAAGACAGGCAGCTAGCTGTCTTCTCTGCCTCAGTTTCTCTCCTCTTCTTTGCACCTTGGTCTGGTTTCTCCCTTTTCTCACTCTCTCATTCTCTCATTCCCTCTTCCTCCACTGAGCATAGCCTATATGAGACTATAGAATTCAACCTCCCCTTTGCACAAATAGGGAAACTGAGGCTTAAGAATACAACTTGCTCAGAGCTGCCCAGCAAGGCAGGAGCAGCGCTTATGGAAAATGGATTCTGATTTGGTCGGTGGGTGGCATAGGTGGGGAAGTGGATCTGGGTGGATTCCTTCTCCCTCAGTTACCACATCCCGAGGTGATCGTTGTTGATGTTGTTGTTAGGTGCCGTGGAGTCAGCTCTGACTCACAGTGACCCTGTGCATAACAGAATGAAGTACTGCCTGGCTCTGTGCCATCCTCACAATGGTTGCTATGTTTGTGCCCATTGTGTTAATCCACACAGCCGCTGTGTTAATCCATCTCATTGAGGATCTCTCTCCTGCTGACTTTCTATTTCACCAAGTATGCTGTCCTTCTCCATTGATTGGTCTTTCTTGATGTGTCTAAAGAAAGTCTCACCATCCTTGCTTCTAAGGAGCATTCTAGCTGTCCTTCCTCCAAGACAGATTTGTTTGTTCTTCTGGTGATCCATGGTATATTCAGTATTGTTTGCCAACCAGCATAATTCAAATATGTCCATTCTTCTTTGGTCTTCCTTTTTCATTGTCCAGCTTTCACATGTGTATGTTGTTATTGTTGTCAGGTGCTGTGGAGTCGATTCCAACTCATAGTGACCCCACAGGACAGAGTAGAACTGTTTTCTTGGCTGTAATCTTTACAGAAGCAGACTGCCAGGTCTTTCTCCATAGAACTGCTGGGTGAGTTCAAACTGTCAACATTTTGGTTGGCAGTCAAATGCTTAATGGTTTGTACCACCAGGGCTCCTGCATGCATATAAGGAAATGGAAAAGACCATGGCTTGGGTTAGGCACACCTTAGTCATCAAAGTGACATCTTTGCCTGTTAACACTTTAAAGAGGTCTTTTGCCACAGATTTGCCCAAAGCAATACGTCATTTGATTTCTTGATTGCTGCTTCAGTTTCTTTACCATGTATCATGTTTATTGGTCCAGTTGTAAGGATTTTCATCTTCTTTATGTTCCAGTGTAATCTATACTAAAGGCTGCAGTAATGCTGGTTCTAAATTCTCTATCCTCATAGTGCAAGGGTATTTTTTTTTCCTCTCAAAAATGGGTAGAAAGATCCACCCAGATGATCCCCCATCCCTCATGCCCGGGGAATCCCAGCCCTGGTTGGGATCAGGACCACAGGTGCTCACTCTCACACACACACACTTCCTCAGGCCTAGAGGAAAAGGTGTCGGTCCCTTCACGCCTGATCTCTGAAAACACTACACAATGCTGCTCTCCCCTCCCGGGAGCCAGGCCACAGCCTGGGCCTTGGGACCAGCTCTTTGTATAACCCACATGAATGTATTAAAAAGTTATTCTGGAGAAATGACGTTTCTTGTGGTGGTTAACTGTCACCATTGCGTCCACCTGAGCCCTGCTATCTCTACTTTCCTTACTTACTGTCTGAGGGGGATGCAAGCTGAGGACTATCAGGTGGGGGGTTCAGGCTCTGGGTCATCACCACCCTAGATCGTGGGGCCTCACACACCTCTGTCCCCTCACACTGAACAACCTGGCATCTGACTCCCAGTACTGAGAAGATGGCGGCCTCAGGCAGAAGTGTCTCCATTTCCTTCCTTCTGCAGCTACACATTCCTCTCCCTTCCCCTGTGCTCATGCCTCTCATCCCCCATCTCTGGGGCAGCACTGTCTCTCGCTCGGGGTTCTCACTTTCCCTCTCTGCTCACTTCTTCCTCTCAGACTTCAGTTGTGCGCAAGTCCTGCCCATCTTAAAACTAGTAAACCCATTGCCACTGAGTTGATTCCAACTCATAGTGACCCTACTGGACAGAGTAGAACTGCCTCGTTGACTTTCCAGGGCTGTAATCTTTATGAAAACAGACTGCCACATCTTTCTCCTGCAGAGTGGCTGGTGGGTTCTAACTGCCAGCTATTTGATTAGCAGCCAAGCACTTAACCACTGCACCACCAGGGCTGCTTAAAAATAGTAAAAAGATCCCTGAACTGCTTTCCCCTTCCTTCTCCTACTCTTCATAGGCAAACTTCTTGGTAAAGTCGTTTCCCCTCTGTCCTGTCCAGGCTGCCTTCAGCACCTCCCTTGCCCCCACACTGTCCTTGCTAAGGTCTCTGAGAGTGTCCTTGTGGCCAAACTCAGTGCACTTTCAGAAGCACCTCCTTGACCCCAGGGCAGCGGGGACCCCCTTGCTCACACTCTCCTCTCAGCATGGACTCCCTGGCATCTACCACCTCCCACACATGGTTTTCTCCCTCTTCTTGGGCCACTCCTTTTCAGGCACTTCTATGTGCTTATCTTCCTTGGGCTCTCTCTAAAAGATGCTCACCAGGACTCTGTCCTAGGCCCTGCTCTGTTTGCACTCGACACACTCCCTTTGGGAATGCTATCGCTGTCACTGCTGTGGCCATCCCACTGCTCTGATGATGCCCACATCTCTCACTCAAGCCCCACACCTGCCTGAGCTTCCAACTCTGCCAACTAGAGGTCTTGCCAGCTAGACGGCTACAGGACTCACAGAGGCTGGAGATCAAGGTTGAACTTGGAAGAAGAGCCCAGGAGGGGCCAGAAGAAAAGCATTCTTGGTTCCTGGATGGGAGTTGGAGGGTGAGGCTGTAAGGTGTGGGGAAGGGACAGGAGCCATGTCACCTGGGGTGGCTGTGAAGGTGAAAAAGTGTTCAAGGTGGGGCAGGAGAGGGTCTCTGAGGCAGAGTCTGGAAAGTGGAATATTGTCCCCCTGCCCTCCCACCCCTCATTTTGCAGCCCACCTGCCTGTGCTTTAGTGGCTCTGCTCCCTCTTTACAGCTGCCTGACACCCCATCACTGCAACCCTTGCAGCTACCAACTTTTCTTCCCCAACCTGACTTCCCGCAAGTCCCAGCTCAGTGATGTACCTCCCCCAGCAGTCTGGATTCCTTCCCCCCTCAGAGCCAGTGACCACTGGCAGACCAAGCACTAGCAGCTCTGCCCCTTGGAGAGCTCTCCAATCCAGGTTCTCTGGCCTGTGACCTCTCACCTTCCAGTCCCTGCTGCCAGCTCCTTCTTTTCACAGGATGGGGTGATAGAAGGGCACATGGCTCAATCCCCTGGCAGCCAGTCAGTGTTCAGTGAAAGCCTAAGGGGAAGGCAGTAGCATGGGATGAGTTCAATCCAGGGATCTACAGGCCTGGAATCTAGCTGAGAGCCAACCAGTCCCCTGACCTCTTTTCCTGGCAAAGAGAGGAGTTTGTTCACCTGGCCAAGACCCCCGGTGAGGCAAAAATTCTTGTTTTCAGCCAAATAGGGACATAGCTGCCAACTAGGTCATCAGAGCATCCGGTTTCCTGAGCTCTCAGCAAGTTCCAGAGAGAGGGAAGGCCCTGGACCTCCTTCACGTCACAGAGAGCCTGAGGTGCCAGGACACCCAGTTTGTTTAATTCATGAGCTATTATGGCACTCCATGAGGCATGGGGCCCAGCTGGAGGCAGGCATGGCAGAGGGGGGCAGGCAGCATGTAACCGGCCAGCTGTACCACCTCTCAGCCTTCCCTGTACTGGCCACATCCCTGGGATCTGGGATCCACTGTCTGCTTTCTGTACCCCTGTCCTTTACCAGGCTCACAAGGCCCTGCAAGGCCAGCTCCTTGTCCCGTCCAGCCGCATCTGTTCTCCCTGCCGCCCAGGCTGCTCAGTGCTGACAATCATTGAATGCCAT